CCGGACTCAGGTGCCTGACTCTGATGCACTCTCCATGGGACACAGGCACTGCTGAAAATCCTACGAGGCCCATCTCTGCACTTGAGGGGGAACCCACACACCTGCTGGGTGTGGTGTTCTGGCCCGTCTAGTGGCACCAGGACCACTTAGAGACAGAGATAAAGGAGTCTGCTGTGGAGCCTTAGCTAACAGCCGCTTGGGTTTTAGCTCATGCGGGAGAGGCTCCAGCACTAAGCTCCTGAGGTCCCAGGTTGGATCCCGCCTGCCAACATCTGCCAGGCATCTAGACACCTGCAGCACATACAAAGTCTGCAATTCTGGGAGCTTCTGACACGCCGGGGGGCTGGAGCATCTATGCGAGTGTGTCACTCTGGTGTGCTCTGCTGCGTCCTCAGCTGCTGCCATCCAGGACAGACGGTGCTGATCCAGCCACGCAGGCCAGCTGCAGTAATACTCAGGAGGTGCCTGAGACACCAGGGCAAAGGCCTCCAGCACCCCAGGCCCTGGGTTTAGGTGACCCTGGAACCAGGCCCCCTGGACTAACATTGTGCCCAGTGAGTTCTGACCCACGGGGGTCTGGCCCCAGAGGCCCACGGTTTGGGATTCTCCTCAGCCAGGCAGACTCGCTCCTTCAGTCGAAGCTACTTTCTGTCCTGCTGGCGATTCCTGCCTGTTTTATGGCAGCGCCACACGCTGTGGGGTGGGGAAGGAAGAGGCATTTCCGTTGGGGCCTGTTCTCAGTCCTTTCCGCGCAGACACCGTGGGCTGCTAGAGTTGCTGAGCCAATCTGCTCAGGCGCTCGGGGTGGGATGGGACGTGGGGCAGGTTCTCCAGTGACCCCTCGGCTGCACTCAACAAGCAACTTGAATGAGCTTTGCAGGCCAGAGGCTTTCTCAGCACAAGCTGGGCTCCTGGGAGGAGGGGCTAGAGAGGGAGGAAATGGGGTGGCCCTTGGGGTCCCAGCACTGGCTGAGAGGCTCCCATCTCTTCTCAGGCAGAGGGGACGAGGGAAGCGGATGAAAGACTGAGGAAACCTCGGCACCTGTTGAGGCTTTTAAAGGAAAGGGCTCAGCTGGAGTCTCCACGCTCACTAGGCCCTGCCAGCCTCCCGCGGGGACAGACTATTCCAGGGCAGCTGCCTAATGGAAATACTCCGTCCCAACAGGCTTTGTCCCTGTTCATTGCAGACCCCCGGGGAGCAGCTTTCCTCAGCCCAGCCCCAAGCCCTGCTGATGAGAGCCGTGAAGGGTCTGACAACACCCACCCTGGAGCGATTTAAAGCCGCAGAGGAAGAGCTGAGGGCCATCGTATCTCTACACGGAGACAAGATGGAGAGAGTAAGAGACTCCCGCCGTGGGGCAGGGGGATGCTGCGCAGAGAGGGGGAGGGGAGAATGGCACGCTGGCATGGTGCTTTGAAGGTTGGCTCAGCCCCTTTCCATTCATTGCTTGGCCGCGGGGATCCGCGGCGTCAGGTTTGTAACGTGCTCTCTGCCCGCTGGAGCTCTGACACGTCCCTGAGGACAGCCCAGCCACACTGAAGGTGCCGAGAGCCTCAGCCCTGGCAGTGCAGCACTTACCTAGTCTGCCGATGGGCCTCCACATTAGGCTCCAGGAACAAACATGGTTTCCTCAGACATGCTGCAGGGCCTTGTTTGTCCAGATGAAGTATCAGGAGGAATTTGGCTTTGCTCTTTTCTCTCTGTCTCTCCCAAGCTCTGATCCTGTTGCCCCTCCCCACAGATCTGAGTGTCTGCCCCCCTGAATTAGATTGGCCTAGGGAGGTCTCTGGCAGACTTCATTTCTACATCCCCTGGGTAGGAGGCTCTCGGTATCATTTACTCCCCCTGATTAATGAAGCTCCACCGCCCTCCTGGGAGGTAGGAATTCAACCCATTGGACACCTGGGGAAACTGAAGCCCAGAGAGCTCCTTGACTTGCCCCAGCCTGCGCAGGTGGGTTATCGAGAAAGGAATCAGGGTTCACGTTCCCTACAGTTTTAAACATTGCCTTTAATCGCTTGGCCTGGAAATAGGTGACATTCCCGCCCTTCTCCAAATACCGCCTGCCCGTGGCGCGTCAGTGCAGACTTATTCCCTTCCTGAGCTTTGGCTGTCCTGGAAACTCGGAGACTCAGAAATGAACCGAATCCTCAGCCTGAGCTTCCTCCCCAAACCTGCCTGTTCCTCGGGTTCCCTGCAGGTCGTCCCTGTCTCTGGCCGAGTTCCCTGTTTCCAACAGGTCCCATTGAGAAGTTAACAAATGGCCCCTCGATCAGCAGATTGATTTGTGCCGGGCTCTACCCCCTGCTAGCAGAACAGGTCAACAGAATCCAGCCACCCGGGTTGTTGCTCCTGCTCCTTGTTCGGGAGAGGAAAGAGCAATGATCAATTCCTCATGGAAGAGCCCTAGGGGGTGGCTTGTCCCTTTCGGGTCTGTCTACCCTCTGCTGCAAACTCTGCAGCAGGAGCCGTAAAGCCTGGCCCTATGGATTTGGGCTCCCAGGGCTGGCACTGTGGGGCCAAACAGCAATGCAGCCTCTTCTGGGCTTGGGCTGGAACTTGAGCTCTGAAGCCAGGGGAGGAGGGGGCTTCAGAGCCTGGGCTCCAGCCCAAGTCACCATGTCTGCACTGCGGTTCTCAGTGCCACAGCCTGAGCCCGAGGTTAGAGACCCAGCTTTAAGATTTGTTACGGCAGGTTTTAAAATCCCGCAGTGTAGAGGTTCTCCTTAGGGCTGGGGCCCTGGAGCTGGCTAGTCCCATCCACGTAGCCCTGCCTGCCATCGCTGGGATGGGCTCTGGGGTACATCCGTAGAACCAGCTGGGTCTGGAGCAGTGCTTCTCTACCTGGGACATCCTCAGGGGCAAACAGGTAGTATTGGATGTGGCCCACACGGAAACTAGGTTGAGAACCACTGGTCTGGAGGAACTGATTGTGCTAGAAAGAGCAACAGGAAGTTGCAGAGATGGAGGAAAGGCTCCTGCAGGGAAGCCCTTGAGAGCGGGGCTGAGAGCAGTTTGCTAAGGCAGGGAAGGTCCTGGGACATCAGGGGAGTTTGAGCTGTGCCTACGGTAAGGTTTTGGGGAAGGCTTTTGTGTGTGTTTCTGAGCTTTAAGGTGCTAAACCAGACTTCAGGAAGATTGGGGTTCCTGGACTTGTCGAAGCCTCTTTCTTGAGATTATGGAGGAGCAGAGATGGGAAACCGAGGTGAGAGGCAGTTTGCAGGGCTTCCAGGAGGGGTTACCTGGGAGGAGGCCACTCATTGATAAATCCATCCCTCTACTTTCTGGCTTTCTTCCAGATTGGAGACGTCGTGGGAGGTATCTTAATCTGGCTAGACAACGTCTGTGATCCCAGAGCCAGAAAAGCAGTGCTGAGGGCCACGGCCTTGCTGGCTCGCTCCCACCCCCAGGACGTGGTTCTGAGCTGTGTGGCGCACACGCTGTCATCAGACAGGTAGGGAGCTGCTCTGTTATCACCTCAGGCCATTATTTCTCTTCCCGCTCCGGCTGACAGGCCACCGTCCGGGAAGGGTCCGTCGGGCTCACACAGTTGGAGGGAGTTTCCTGCGGTGCAGAGAGCTGTCCATGCTCACTAAGAGGAGATGCCCAGGCCCAGCCACTGAGGAGCCAACCCCTTCTCCTGCACTCCCCGGGATGGAGACGTGCCAGTTTTCTGGAGAATTCCAGCATTGTGCTGATTTCTATGGGTCACCCCACTTCCTCTCACCTCCAGTACAGGGCCAATAAATGACTTTGGGGCTCACTCCACATCCCTGGGTCATGAGGGCTGGCTGCTCCCTATTGCGTGAGAGAGGGCAGAGATGGAAAAGGCCCATGAGGCCCATCTGTCTATCCCCTGGAGACCAGTGCAGGATTGTTACCTGTTTTCAGATCCCTAGTTATTCCATGGCTGAGGAATTGGTGAAAAAATGCACGCATCCTTATGGAGTTGTACAGCAGAGATAAATCTCTTAAGACAGAAATTTCCAGCCCTGATTGTTGCAAAAAAAAAAATCATCCACACGTGACCTGAGCGTAAATGCAGTGCAGCCTGCCTGAGTCTGAAACAGCCTCTTTTCATCTCAATATGTCTCGATCATACGGTCAGGGTGGGGCATTGTGGGAAGGCTCCTGAAAGCTAGTTGACGTAAACAACGCAGTGTCTGCACTGACACTGCATCGACCTAACTACATCGACCTGGACTCTCTGCCACTCGTGGAGGTGGAGTTATTAATTTGGCACCGAGGGGCAGTTCTGCCAACGGGAAGGAAATTCCATAGTTAGGGTGATGCTGGGTGAACGGCCTTGCGTTGACCTAACTCTGTAGTGCAGACCAGGCCTTAGTGTGTCCTGGATACCTCCTAGCAAACCAAAGAGGTGTAAATAAAGTTTCCCCCAGGTAAAAGTTACAGATCTGAAGTGGTTTATCTGCTGGTACCCTGGCTCAGTTGTCTTCTGCTCTAGGTGGCCCTTTAGTGAGCAGGTGCAGTTCCGGTGTCTCTTGGAAGTATCCAGGTTTCTGGCTCTGTAAACCGTGACTAGAGAGCTTCCCAGCATGGGATCATGAGATGTCCAGTACTTTTGACTGGGCCAGAAACACTGGGCTATGCGAACGGATCTCCTCAGGATGGTTTCAGCCCGTCCAGTCACGGCTGGAAAGGCAAAGCACAGGGTCTGCACCATTAAGAGAAATAATGGGGAATAACGTCATCCAGACTCTTCTGATCTTTCCATAGGGCTCCATCCTGCTTCCGTTCCAGGAATGTGTGAAGGTTCAGGAGCCTCCAAATGTCTCTTCCCCTCTCAGGAGCTAATCCTCTTTTCTAATACGCTGGAGAAGAAATGAGACATGACAAAAGGACAATAGCGAATGACAATGGGACCAGGTGACAGATTGGAGAGTTGAGTGAAATTTCTATCTCATTCTTTCCCCCCTCCAGGCAATGAGGACCATTTACGAGGTCCTTTTCCTATGGGGATACCAAGAAGCCATCCTGGAAATGTATCCCCAGATGCTCATCCTCTGTGTCAGGCAAGTGCAGTATGTGATGGATCTGCGCTTGCCAGGGACCTACAGGGCCAGCAAGACATCCAGCCCCGAGGAGGGATCCAGCTGCCTCAGCCCCCTAAGGTAATGACTGAAAGGAAAAGGAAGAACAGATTTGTTCTGCTAAACACATGGTCTGTTCATGGCCATCATTTGTTTGGGTGCTGTAGTTCGCCCAGGCTCAGTTCGGTGCAGGTCTCTCTTGAGGGGAAAGGGTTGAGAGCCGTGTGTTCTTGTGAGTCACACTCGCTCATCTGACTCCGTCCACAGGCCAGCTGCTTTCACTACTCAGTCAGGCAGCAGTCATGTTTGTGCATCCATCCCCATGTGCCACCTGCCAAAGCGTCAGTGCTTTTATCAGGGCCTGCTGAGCAAATCTGTGGACCTCCGTCCCAGAACGCAGACAGAGCCACTCCAGCAGCACATGGGGCCTGTCATAACTATAAAGGGAAGGGTAATAGCTGTCCTGTGTACAGTACTATAAAACCTC